ATATTTATCTAGTATTTTTTGGATGTTACAGTTGCTTTAATGTGTAGCAGACAGATCAGGGTGAGCCTGAGAGTCGTTAGTGGTTGACGAATCGAGGTAAGCCCAATAGTCGTTAGTGGTTAACGAATCGGGATGAGCCCGAGAGTCATTAGCGGTTACCGAATCGGGGTGAGCCCAAGGAGTTATTAGTGGCTGACAGATCGGGGAGAACCGAGATTCGTTAGTAGTTTTCGGACTTGGTTAGACCCAAGAGTCATGAGGGGATAAATTAAGTGATATAAATTTAAGGACTTCTTTGGGCCAGCAGGGTTGATGTATGGGATGGCTTCGTTCACCAGAAGGACAAGCAAGATCGGGAATTTTTGAATTATGATTTAGGAATTTGCTTTCCCTGATGTTTGTTCTTTGGGATAGTGTTCGTTCTCTATCGATTTGCGTGCTTCTCGCAAAGGATTGAATCAGAATTGGTGTCTGGAGGTGGATATCTGATTAGGGAATCATTATCGATTGTTAGGCACTTCGTTCCAAAATAGACTTTGTGCATGTCCGTGGAGACTTTGAGGTTGTTAACCGCAGTAAAGGAGTTTTGTCGACTTGTACGAAATGAGCGGGATTGGAAAAGCCCACAAGGAGTAAGGGTTAAGGATGAATTTCGAAGACAAAATCTAATTTTAGTGGGGGAGAGTTGCAACACCCGTTTTCCCGATTTGACCATTTGAAGACCTAAAGATTTCAAAGGTGAGGTTTTAGGAAAAACCAATTGTCACGATGACGTGGCCACTGAACATAATGAAGAAACGTGGTTGGCTGGCTGCCACGACGTAGCGAGATGATAGCCACGGCGTGGTAGCTATTGCAGCCAAAGCACAAGATTATAGGGTTTATTCTATATTTAAAGACCTTAACTCTTTGATTAGGGCATTCTCCTCAACCTCCATTCCCCCTTTTCAAAACCCTAGCCTCCCTTCCATGGCTATGAGCTTGTTGGCTTGGTTATGAGCTCTCTTTCATGGTTTTGTGAAGTTTGAGGAAGAAGGAACTCCATCTTGGTGCAAGGAAGCAAAAATCTAGCTTCGATCCTTCATCTTCTTCAAATTTTGGAGTCATTTGAGGTATAAAGCTTGTATCTTGACCTTTATTATCTTTGATTCAAGATTATGCTCTTTATGGATGGTTTTGGTCTCTTTCTTGAATGGTCTTGGAGTTAGAGGAACTCCAGAGCATGTTATGGCACTCTGATGGTCAATGGACTTTTGTTATGTGTGAAAAGGGTTCATGTTTAGGGTTATCTTGAGTCCATGCACAAGAACTTGGCCTTTGGATGACCTAATGGACTTAGGGTTGTAGATCTTGCCCTGTGATGATGTCATAAAAGATAAAGTTGGAAACTTTATCCATTAAGTCATTGAGAAGAACCAAGTCTGAAGTTATGAGCCTTGATCTGTAAGGGTTAAGTTCTTAATGAGAAAAATCCTTTCTGACCAAAACCACAGCATGGCCAAGGGCTTGCATGGCGTGGTGGTGCTCATCCATGTGACTGTTTTTTCCGAACTTGGGCGCGAAGCGACTAAGGGATTGTCACGGTGTGGTGGTCGTTGACTTTTGACCAGTTTGACCTTACGTCAAACTTGAAGGATTTGGATTGTTGATTAAGGTTGGATCCCTATTCAGTGATAGTCGGTTCGCGGGTCTGATCAGTATGAGGAGTTGACAGAGTGATGTGTTTCTCCGGTTCTGCAATTCGGGTGAGTTTCCTCACTATACTGTGTGATACGATATATATCCTTGCATGATAGGATGTAAGGGGGACTAGTGATATGCAGGTTAGAGTATCAATAGGTTGGTGGTCGTCCAATTGATTGTCATAGGGGTTGTATGTATTCATGTAAGATAGCCTGAGAACACTTGATCTAGGCTTTCTTGCTTGTTCCTCGTTTGGTTGTGGCTTTAGAGTAGGATCACTTGTACGACTGTCTATCCTACCTGTGATTATATACATCTATGCACTTATTTGGAGATCTGTCAGTTGTGGCGTAGTGTGTTGTATGAGACCTTGTATGCGGTAGTGGGTTGTTAGGTAGGTAAACTAGTGTAAACAATAGCATATGTCGTTGGATTGTTTGATTGTCTTTTTTTTATATATGTTGACATATCTTGTAGTGGGTTGAGTCGGTCCGGATTTGTGCGGTAGCCAAGATACCCAGGTGGGCCTCCGATGTGCTGAAGTCCAGGTGCGTACCAGTTATATGTTGTAGGCGAGTGGGGAGGACCAGTCATGGATTGAAGGCCATTGTGTGTATGCTTATATGTATATTGTGGTGTATGGTATTTTGGGGGAACTCACTGAGCTTTAGCTTACATTTGTGGATTAAATGCTTTCAGGTGCTTCTGATGATCATAGGAAGGCGAAGGTGTGACTATACACACTCATCAGCAACAATGGTGTGATGCATTTATTATGATACTCTAATTTTCGTATAATTGTATTTTGAACAAATGAGTTTTCTTGACTTTGAGTTTTTTATGTAAATGGTATTTTATATCAACAAACAATGAAAGAAAATTTTGGTTGTGAAAAATGGGGCGTTACACCTGTGATTTGTTACTTCTTCAATAAGTAGAAGACTCAAATTAAGAAATAACCACATAGGAAAAAAGAAAAAAAAAACACAGTCCCATATACGCCCCTGTTGCTATTGCAGAGCATACAATCCAAGATCCTACACATATCGTACCTGTGGGTAAACCCTATGAGTATAGATGCTCAATTCCCTCCACAGATAAAGCTACTGCGAACATTGATTTCTAGAGACAAATAAATTTCTTGATTTCTAAATCTGGCGATAGGTTTATGATTTCCGAATTCTCTTGATTTGGTTTCAATTTTCTTCTTCGAGATATTTGATTTCCAAAGATAGTGATTTTGGGGTTTTGGTTTCTTGATTTATAGAGAGAGAAACAGCGATGGTTGATGATGTGTTCTATATTTTTTTCTTTTTTGGTGATTTTTAATACCGATGGTGCTGATGGATGGAATTCTGATTTTGGGTTATATTTTGGAATTTCTTGAAGTGTTTATCTATGAATTTATATGTGGAGAAAAACATATGTGGATTTTCTGATGGAAAAGTACGTATATGTGGACTTACGGATGTACGGTTTGCAATAAAGGTGTCAAAAAAAGTATATATGAGGCACTTCCACTGGTTGATTTAGGTCACATGGACTAAAACGACAAGTCACAATTCACCTTTTGTCCCCATAATACTGAGAAAAAAAAATTAGTGAATGATTAAACCAATTCTGGAAATATTGTAGGGCTACAATATCATTTTCTCTTTTAAAAAACCTAGATTATCCTAAACCAAAACCAGTCGATATTCATTTCACTTATAAAAATCCAGTCAAATTAAACTGGTTTGGAATTAACTGATTCCGACAACCTGGAAACCAACGATAACCGAACCAGATTTTCTAAAAACCGGTTTCGGTTTTATCCAACGTATTTCTACTAACTGATGGCTAACGATTCAATATAGTGTTGCATGGTAGCTTGTTTCACGGGTTGGATAGTACGAATTGACTACTAGGAACTCATAATTATCTTTACTTTTAAAGTTGTACTTTTTATTATTTTGTACTTACAGATAGACAAATAGTTGTATTAGGTAGTTCGGTTTGGTATTTCAGTACTTGTAGTACTACAATTGTTTATATGGTCCTCAGTTTGTGGTCCTTGAGATGCATTCAATCGATAAAATGTTCAATTCACACTTTTCTGGTACATAATTCTTTGCTTCTCTCGTATACGTATACTGCTGTGAAGTTTGAGATCATAAACTCAAATCGCATAGGATGCAACTCACGTAGCTTACCCTTTTTCTGGAGTTGTTTCTTAATATAAAGTCATCTACGCAACAAGTTTGAGCTTTCTTCTTGATTGTGGTAATCCCCTTATTTCCGACAGCCAAACATGATTAATGATTTAAATATTTATACATTCTGATGTATGGTTGTTTTAGAGATTAGTTATCCCTTTACACACAGAAGGGAAAAAGCTAAACATGTAATGCTCTCACTGTCTTTTTAAAAATTTTAGATGTTGATTATGAGAATTCTCTCTAGTTTTCTCAATTCACTTTATTTGTTGACTTTATCATTGGTGTATTATTCTTATCCCATTTCTTTCTTGTAGGTATTATCGATTAAGGAGTGATGCGGACCTAGCATGGAGAATCATGCTTTTACGTTTTTAAAGGACTTTGATTGAGTTACCAAAGGGGTTTTACGAAAATAGCCATAACTTTGGCTTTGGGGATCTGTTTTCGGCATGTGACCAATCGAAGTTTGAATCGAGGGGTACACCATGGTAAGTTGCCAATGGGAACTTACCTATTTTTAGTCCAAAAAACGCTTTCTAAGTGTAGTTATGGACGTTTTTGTTTTTACTTGTTAAAATTTAGAGTTTTGTTTTTTGGTTTGTGTTTGCCCACGGCCCTTTTGGGGTCCGTTTAAAATTATGTTTCTTATGCTGATGTAAGTTGGATATCTTTAACAATTTTAAAAAATATATATATTTACTTCACAATTGTGTACTTGAAACCAGATTTTAAACATCATTTCCACGGTATTCATTGCATTCTGCATCAAGAAGAGATCCCAAAAAGCGTTTGACTTTGTGAGCAGGGGCGGATCTTATACAGGGCTAAAGGGCTTTTGGCAGAAGTAGTCTCTATATTTTAATTTTATACATATTAGACTCAAAAATATAAAATTTTAACTATGACCCTATTCACCAATTTTTATATAAATTATATTTTCGGCCCCAAATGAAACGCCATTTGTAAACATAGGTTTTTGGCTATGCACGCTATAATGTACTCTCCGTGGGGTGTGACCCTTAATTTATTGGTCACTAAAATAATATAGAATAAAATGGATGAGTATTCATGTATACAAGGATGGTAAAATGAATCATAAAATTTGAAAGTGATCATAATACCGAAATAATGATGATCTTATTGCATTCGAAACAAGGTACATAGGTATATATGTGAATATGTTTGATCGTCTTTGAATCTAAAATACAATATGCTTCGTATATTCTAAGCTCTTCACCTTCTTCCGTTGGTGAAGCTGGCTCTAGAAATGCCATAATTAACAAAAGAAAAACAAAATGAAAAACAAAATGAGAGTATCCCAACTATTCCCCAATGTGGGGCAATACAACAAATTAATATTCTTGAGAATGCTATAATTTAATTTAACAGACGGGTAAGTCTGCTGGTGGTTTCTGTAATTTCTGCGATACTTCCAGCCCATCTTCTACTAACAACACGGTTGCCAAACCCCACCCGATGTGAACATCCAAGTGACAGTGCATAATCCAGGAACCTGAAAACATGAAAATAATTAAGGGATATATAGATATAGATCTAGAAAATGTAATCAAGCTTTTATTAATTGACTTGATTGATATCCGTTCTTAATTCACCTGGATTATCAGCAACAAATCTAATGACTGCCCACCCACTGACCGGTAAACTAGCGGTATTTCTTAGAGGTGGATCCACGAGGTTGAATTTAGATGTGTCGGTTGCCGGATTGAAGTTTCCAAATCCTTCTGCGATTATGTAGAAATCATATCCATGAAGATGGATTGGGTGGTTCTCGGCCGTGGAGATGTTAGTACCTTGCAACACAATCTGCACCGTTGCTCCATATTTTAACTTGTAGACCTTGGTGCCTCGTATAGGTTGCCATAGAGACTGGGGTACATTACCAGTGTAATCAAAGGTCACCGGAGGGTTCGCCGGAAAGTCAGTGGTGAAAACTCCGGGAACGCCGAGGTGATGTGCTTGGAGGATGGTGAAATTGGATGGGAGCACAAAAGATACGTTGTTCATGCTCGCAGTGAATCGCGTCCTGTTTGGAGCCTGACACGTACTGGCCGGCGCTGTAGGTGGGCATTGAAGTATTCCAAGGCCGGCAGTAATAAACATATTGACGTCGATGTCAGTAGGAACCTCCACTTTTTTCGGGCTCCGGAAACTGGTGCTGAAGACGGTGGCGGTGGCGGTGTCATTATAAGCTGGGAGAGAGGGCATAACGGGCTTTGAAGACACACCCTTTGCCGGACATGGGGCGGTTTTGTACTCCAAAATGGCGGTTGTGGTAGTGTTGTCGAATGGAACTCCTTGTGCACTGGCGTAAGCTCGTCCGGCAATGTAGTATCGAGCTGGTGGCTGGTCGGCTTTGATGAGTACATCAGTGGTTTGGCCAGGTCCGAGCATGAGCACCGAAGTGGTGAAGGGTTTCACGTATGATGCATCCGCCCCCACGACGGTGAACTTGTGGTTAGCTATCGTGAAGAAAAGCTGTTGATTTAAACCGGCATTGATCACCCTCATCAGGTTCGTCTCTCCTGAATCCACTGGAACTATGACAGTATCTACATTATCAAAACACCAGATGATGTTAATTAATTAACAGGCCCACTGTTTTTCTTTTCTAGATTATATAGACGTACGAGCTAGAGACGATGAAGCAAACCTTTGCTGGAGCAGTTATAGAGATCGCCAGGTTGACCATTGATGGTAAACGCATCAGAAATATTCGGACCTCCTCCTGTTCTCATGGCTTCCCTTATAACATTGAGCGGGTTAGCATTCCACCATTCACCTGATCATCATCGTAGCTTATTATGTCAGGTATTTCAATCACGCGAAATGCATGTACAATATTTGTATCTTATTAATTAATTAGTGGATAAGGATTAAGGAGCATACCAAGAACCACGACTGATTCACGTTTTGGCTTCTGAAACGGATATGAATCTCCTTGTTTAGGGCGAATAACAAGAGCACCATAAACAGTGGCTCTGACCCACGAGCTATGTGCATGCCACCATAGCGTTCCTTCTTGCCCTGAAATTGTGAACCTGTACGTGTAACTCCCTCCTGGTCTAATCGGACATTGAGTGATGAACTCGGGTCCATCTGCCCATGCTGTTGTTATTTGCCTAACACCGTGCCTGAACAATTAATATATCAGAAAAACAAATTATTTTAGATCATCTATGTGGTTATTCTTATATATAGTCATGTCATACGAGAATATGCATGCATGCATGGGGTTCCATATATAGTACCAATGAATGGTAACGTTATCTTTAGCTCTATTGACGACATTTATCACCAAACTATCACCATTGTTCACTTCCAAGGTCGGTCCTGGTAATTGCCCATTCACCGTCATAACAGTCTGGGTTTTGCACAGGCGTGTCACTTTCGTTTCTTGAACCTAATCCCATACAAATATCGTTAAATAGTATATATGTACATCGATCAACACATATAGCAACAAAAATATACATATATATAGTAAATGTGACGAAATAACATACGACGAAGTCATGATAGTGAGTTTTTGCATATGCCAAAGAGACTATGCTCGAAAACAGAAATAACAAGCTGGTTAAGGTTCGCCCCATTGTCACCATATTGTCGGAGTTTTGGGTGTTCTTTTTTGTTGTAAAGGTGGTGTGTATGCAAATATTGAACCAGGAGAAGTTAGAGATTACTTGTGGAATAGGGAGAGAGAAGAGTTATTTATATAGAGAAGAAGAAATGGAGATAGTTGCTTAAAGTTGGCAAAGTAGGTTTTGATTTTGGGGCTTGGGGTGATGGTCAATTCACAAAGGCAAAATTGTTCAACCTTAGTTGGTGCACCCACTGACCTATCACAATGCGATCAAAGTTTTCCATGATGCTTGCTTCATAAGCCTTCTTTCCTGTCTTTTAATTATTAATTAAGTTATTAAACGCATTTACTTTCTTTAGTGGACTATTCTCACCAAATCAGCAGAAACTATGTAGCTTGCTCGGGCTTTATGTTATTAAAAGATAGAATTTGGTAAGAAAGGTAGGGCATATATACTTCTTCATGCAGTTAAAAACAATTAAAGGAGTATTTACTGAAATAAATCGTGGTTTTATATTTTTTGTTTCCACGTACGTTTACATTTTAAGAAATGTAAATTCGTATGCTTTGAAAATTTAAAATCAGTCTATATGACTTTGTAGACAATAGTTCTATGTTGTAAAGTGGATTATGAAGCTTTCATGGTTTACAATAGTTCTACGTTTTGATCTTTTATCTTTTATATCATATATACATGAAAGACAACAATACGTCTTGTAAAAAAACATAGTTATATTTATATTATAAAAATATGTAAACAATGCACACGAAAGGCAAGTGTTACATACGAATGTTTAAAACTTAATTATAACATCCACAATACAAGTAGTATAAGAGTTGAATAGGGTAATAATTATGATTGAATAGCTAGTTGAATGGAGTATGAGATAATAACATGGAGAGGAGTTGAATAAAGGAGTTAAGTGATCATTGAATGGTTTAATAGAAAGAATAAAATGATGATTAATTAAAATTGAATATATGTTTAATGAGTTGTGGATTTTGTTCTATAGATGTTTAATGGATAAAGTGACAATGCATTCAACTCTTTAGAATTCAAGGGATTGTGCATCCTCAAAAGTAGTCTGATCAATAATTTTAATAGTCATAAAAAACGTGCATGCTAAATATCGGAAGCAAATTCTTTTTAAGATATATATTTATGTTCCTTAAAATACAATTATGAATATACATTAATCATGCTAAATTAAAAAAGAAACTAATGATGTCAACAAATTTAATAACCTTTTAATTTTATGACAATCATAAATACGAACCACTTAAACCGATATCTGGTATGTTACGATAGTTTTTATGAGACGGTTACGAAAGCTTTTTAAATTTATAATAAAGGCCATATTAAAAACCTTAAATTCTATTTTTTTTTTTTTTGGAACGATAAAAATTCTATTTTATTAAAGTTAGAATTTTCTTTTTAAAACTATTTTGATAAAGTTAGATAACATTTTGAAAACAGATATCATTTATATATTAAATTTCTATTTTTTTATAAACCTTTGAATATTTGAAATACCATAAATGATTCTATAATCCAAGAGCTACGTACAACTATTTCCATCCTTTACATATGAAATTGTGGGTCTCTTCGGGTTTTGACATTTGCAATGAAAATAGAACCGACGACCATATGATCTATAAGAATGGTAGAAGTAGAAGTGTCACTTGAGTTTAAGATTAATTTTTCTCTTTTTTATTTCTTCTATCTTTCTCAATACACTATACATTAACATAACATCTTTTTCGCCTCATTCAACTATTAATTTTATTAATTAAAAACATACAAATTAATTCAAAATAAAACAATGGAATCTCCAATAAAGTCATAATATTTTAGGTCAATTTACGGTTTAATCACAAATTAAAATTTGTTTACAAAAAAAGACAGAATACCGGCTAAACCTTCAGAATAATCATTCGTGGCTGCTTTCCTAGATTTAGCCAGTATTTCGTCTTTTTTCATTAATTCGTCAAAATGTTGAGAATTTTTTGAAGATGATGTTATTTTAATCAATAAACAAAATATTGAGACTTTTCTGAAGATTACGCTTGAACTAATGTATATTGTTATTAACAAATCATTTATAAACATAACACATATTTGTATTATAAACAAAAGAAATAAAGTTGTTGCTAATTATAATAATGCCAAGGTGGACTAAGTAACCCCCACCATATTGTTTGCTGACAATTTCAAACTTAATATGTTCCTCGTATGCATCGTTGTACATGTTATGATGTGATGCACTGTGTGAGTATTCATTTTATGTTCTTTAACCTAACTACTACCCAACTAACAAGAACCTAAGCATAGTGCATCTCACCATGACACCCACAAGGCCACAACGATGTATCAAAGGAACGTATAGAGGTTGAAGTTGTAAACAAACAATATTAACGTGGGGTGGGGGTACTTAGTCCACATTTACATTCCTGGAAATTAGCAACAATTGTATTTCTTTTTTTATAATAAAAAGATGTGTTATGTTAATATATGATTTATTAATAACAATATACATTACCTTAAAGGTAACCTTTAGAAAAATCCAAATATTTTGGTTATTGGTTAAAAATAACATAATCTTCAAAAAAATCCCAATATTTTGACGAATTAACGAAAAAACCGGAATATTGGCTAAATCTGCGAAACCGGCCATGAAGGGTTAATCTGAAGCTTTAGCCGGTATTATGTCTTTTTTTATAAACAAAATTTAATTTGGGATTAAACCGTAAACTGACATAAAATATTAGGACTTTATTGGAGATTTCCCTAAAACAAAATATTAATTATATTGATAATATTGCATTTTTTGTAAATTAAAAAGAAAACATGTTATATAATGTGTGAAAACAAAAGAGATAGGGAAAAAGTTGGAGGTTTTCCCTGGGTTCCTCAACTCGCATCTGAGGCCAAAAGCTCAACTCGCTTGTGCTCGAAGGTGTTCCCCCGACGGTACAGCCAGCCCAAAATCTGGAGCCTGTAGTTACTCCATCCACCCTAAGAACAAGCATGTAATCTGAGAATGGAATTTGTTATGAAAACAGTGAGCAAATAAGAATGAACTATGTGGTTAACAATGTCAAGGAAATTCTACTATATCCATGTCCAAACTAAATAACTTCTTATTGATTTAGGGATCTACCACGAAATGCTTGACTTTAATGGTGTAGTAGTAGCCTTTATCAATCTTATCTTGGCCGCCCATTGTAGCTCCCTACTGGCTCTCTTCTTTTTGAAAAGATGAGGAAAAGACTTTCCCTTTGGACGATATGTTAAAACACTAAAGTACGTTTGCATATTTGCATACCTTGTTCTTGACGGGTTTTATAGGTTATAAAATACATGTACATGCGGAAAATCTCTTAACACTCAAGGGCACATACAACCTATAAGGATCTATATCTTTCAATTAATAGCAACATACTATGAATATCAAGAACCCTACGAGAATCCTACTATAATCAAAATTAGTAGATCTAGGGTTACATACCTTTGAATTGTTATAGTAAATAATTCCTTGAATCCCTTCCTTTGTTGATCTTGGAAAGCTAGCACCAAAAGTGTGATTGTGACATCCCCATTTTCACGGTCATTTTAAAAAAAAAATTATGATTATTTGAAAATTAGAGTATTCATTTTAAAGAATAATAATGCGGAATTTGTTCCCAGAACACATGATAAATATATTATCAAATCATTTCCGAAGAAATGTAATTTGTTTATATTAATACTTTGGGATGTCATCGTCAATACATAAACATAAGTATAAACAGACCTTACATTCATTTACACTAGTGATTTACATCTCCTTTAATCTTTCAGTGTAATGTAGCATCGTATTGACACCTGTGATACAAATAAACTGAGTGGGTTAGGTTGGGAAACCTGGTGAGTACATAGGGTTTTCAACCCACAATAATATAGTTAATTTGTTTCATCATCAAACAATTATCCCAATTACTCATCCTCATTATCTTCTTTATTTCTTAAGGATCTACCCTAAGAATCATTTATCATTCACTCATTCATTCCTATGGATTGTCCTAAGAAATAGGCTCGAAGTCCATCGTTGCCAAGGTTTGTATAACAGGCACTAAGTCCATAGTTGACGATGTTATTTGTTAGGCACTAAGTCCATAGTTGTCAGGGTTTATCTCTTTTATTGACAATATTATTTTAGGGAGTCCATCCACAATACATGTCAATGGGTTTTTAGAGTACATTTGATGAACATATCGTTCACAACACCTACAAGTTGTGAGCATGCTAGTGTTCCACTGGACTGTCTAGAACAGTCTGTGGTTGTCATCTATACTCTGCTAGATGATTGGGCCATTACTTGGGTCATTGCTTCTCATCATCTTTCACCTCTCATAATCTATATCATCTTTAATCTCTCATCATTCATCTCATCTTTCATCTCTCATCTCATCTCATCTTTATTATACCCGTCTTTACCCATCATAATTATAGGTATAAAATACGTATACAGTTTAAATCGAATAAAACATGTATAT